CCCCCGCTCTAACCACTAGCCCCTACTCCCCTCCCAGAGCCGGGGAGAGAACGCAAGCCATACCCTGAGTCTCCCCTCCCCCGCTCTAACCACTAGCCCCTACTCCCCTCCCAGAGCCGGGGAGAGAACGCAGAGGCCCTGGCCCCAGCCCCCTCCCCCGCTCTAACCACTAGCCCCTACTCCCCTCCCAGAGCCGGGGAGAGAACGCAGAGGCCCTGGCCCCAGCCCCCTCCCCTGCTCTAACCACTAGCCCCTACTCCCCTGCCAGAGCCGGGGAGAGAACGCAGAGGCCCTGGCCCCAGCCCCCTCCCCCACGCATCTCCCCTCCCCTTCCCTCAGTTTCCCTCTCTCCAAAAATGCTGGGAGGAAAGCAAGGGGAGGAGACGCCCTACCCGGGCCCATCCCGCCCGTCCCCTTCCCAGGGCGGGGCCCGCTCCCCCGGTGGGACGGAGCCCCCCCTTCTAACCCGCCCCCCTCCGATCCAGGCGACTCCTTGTCCTACCACACGGGGCAGAAGTTCTCCACCTTCGACCGGGACCAGGACCTGTACGTGCAGAACTGCGCGGCGCTCTCCTCCGGGGCCTGGTGGTTCAAAAGCTGCCACTTCTCCAACCTGAACGGCTTCTACCTGGGCGGGGCCCACCTCTCCTACGCCAACGGCCTCAACTGGGCCCAGTGGAAGGGCTTCTACTACTCGCTGCGCAAGAGCGAGATGAAAATCCGGCGCATCTGAGCGTGTCGGACTGGGGGCCGCGAGTTCGAATCCCGGGGGGGCGGGAGTGAGGGGCGCCCATCCGAGGGGCTGGCCCCTGCCCCCTTGTGCCCCACTCTCTGTCCCCTAATAAAACTCCCTTCCCTGAGGCTGCTCTCTGGCTCTTTACAGGATGGGGGGGTCACAACCCCCAGTCTGCCCCGTCTTTGCTCCCCACACCCGACAGATAGCGGAGCGACAGCGGACCTCAGCTCAGCTGGCACCCAGAGGCCGTGCATTGGGGGGAGTCTGGGGGCTGCCCCCCAGAGTGCTGGGTCTTAGCCATCCCACACACCTGGCTCCCGCCTGGACCCCCGACAGACTTTGTCCCACAATGCACTGCAAACTGAGCCGTCTGGAGAGGCATCGCCGGTGTCCCACAATGCACGGGTGGGGCGGCTCCCTGGGGTCCCACAGAGCACTGCAAATTACCCAGCAGCCCTTGCTGCATGGCTCCGTAGAAAGGGGCTTCACTGGTATCCCACAATGCTTTGCTGCAAGACTGTCCTTCTATCTGCATCCCTGAGGGAATTGGCTTCAACTTGGTCCCACAATGCATTGCAAATTACCCAGCAACCCTAGCTACAAGGCCCCGTTCCCAGGGTAGCATCGCTAGCCTCCCACAATGCACTTGGCCATTAGCTATGAGTCTTCAGCACACATCACCCAGCAAACTTTGCTGCATCTCAACCTGAACAGGGCCGCCTCCCACAATGCATTGCAACCCACCCAGCGTCTAGGGGACCGTCACTAGCCTCCCACAATGCATTGCAACCCACCCAGCGTCTAGGGGACCATCGCTAGCCTCCCACAATGCATTGCACGGTGTCACTGCCTCCCCTACCCCCAGCGGCATGTTGGGGGCGCAGCTCAGAGCTAACTCCTCAGATCCCTTCCTCCTTGTTTGGAGCCCCCCATTTCTAGAGCCCTGCAGCCCCAGCTGATCCCCCAAACGCCACTAGACTCCACTCCCCTCCGAAGCCAGGAGAGAGCCCTGGAGTCCTGGCCCCCAGCCCGCCTGCTCTACCCACTAGACTCCACTCCCCTCCGAAGCCAGGAGAGAGCCCTGGAGTCCTGGCCCCCAGCCCGCCTGCTCTACCCACTAGACTCCACTCCCCTCCGAAGCCAGGAGAGAGCCCTGGAGTCCTGGCCCCCAGCCCGCCCCGCTCTGACCCCAGACATGTCTAGACAGCTGTAGCTCCCTGGCTCCCTGCAGCTGGATCTGGCTCCCGCCCCGGCCCTGCAGCCAAAGTCAGGCTTTGAGGGATGAGCTCACTGCACACGGGGTCTGAGACGCAGATCCTCAGC